GTTTAAATTCCTGGAGCACGATCTAAATGCGACATGCTTAATTAATTTCAAGTTTTTATATTATTCTTTTTTAAATGGATATATTAAGAGAATGTTTCTCAAACAGAATGTATGTCATTTAATTTGCTTATCGTTAAAGAAACCTACATTGTCCTTAGTTATATGAATCATGTATATATTTACTCCATCCGTTTCAATTTAGATGAGATAGTTTTATTCGACACGGAATTTAAGAAAAAAAAAAGACTTTTGAAACTTGTGGTCTTAAAAGCTTAAGGGATAAAAGCTTTGTGGGACCATGATATTTGTGTGGCTATAAAAATTTCTTATTAAGGGTAAAATGGGTAAAATGGAGAGTTTAAAGTGAATTATTTTCAAATTTAAAAATGTATCATTTATTTTAGAACAGAGTCGCGAATCGGTGTTAACGAGAGGCTAGAGGTTTGGAGACAGGCTCTTGAGTCTAAGGGTTTCAAGCTGAGCAGGACGAAGACGGAATACCTGGAGTGTAAATTCAGCGTTAAGCCACGGGAAGTGGGCGTGGATGTGAGGCTTGAATCACAGGTCATCCCGAGTAGAGGCAGCTTCAAGTACCTTGGTTCGGTTATCCGGGGGGAAGGGGAGATCGACGAGGATGTCACACACTGTATTAGGGTAGGATGGATGAAGTGGAGGTTAGCATTTGGAGTCATGTGTGACAAGAGAGTGTCACCAATATTCAAAGGTAAGTTCTATAAAGTGATGGTTAGACCGGCCATGTTGTATGGGGCTGAGTGTTGGCCCGTTAAGAACTCACATATCTAGAAGAAGAAAGTAGCAGAAATGAGGATGTTGAGGTGGATGTGCGGGCACACTAGGATAGATAAGATTAGGAATGGTGTTATTCGGGAGAAGGTGCACGTGGCTCCCATTGATGACAAGATGCAGGAAGCGAGACTTAGATGGTTCGGACATGTTCAAAGGAGAAGCCCAGATGCTCCGGTACGAAGTTATGAGCGGCTGGTTATGGAGGGCACGAGAAGAGGTAGAGGGCGGCCTAAAAAGTATTGGGGAAAGGTGATCAGGCAGGATATGGCGAGACTCTAGATTTCCGAGGACATGACACTTGATAGGAAGATGTGGAGGTCGAGTATTAGAGTTATAGGTTAGGATATAGTTGAGTCTTGACTTACTTCGTACCATTGTGGGACTAGCCAGGTAGAGTTTTTATCTAAGATAGCTAGTGACAATGTTGTGTTTTACTACTTCGCTTTTCAGTGCATGTCCTATTTACTAGCTATCGCTTTTGCTTTGCATCTTTCTTCTGCATTTCATGGTGTTCCTATTTTTCCTATGATTGTTGTGGTGATACTAATATTTTCTCCTTTTGTCCTTTTGTCCTTTTGTTTTCTTGAGCCGAGGGTCTTTCGGAAACAGCCTCTCTACTCCTTTGGGGTAGGGGTAAGGTCTGCGTACACACTACCCTCCCCAGACCCTATTAGTGGGATTTTACTGGGTTGTTGTTATTGTTGTTATTTTGGAACAGACTAAAAAGAAAAGTATATCATCTAATTCGAAACAGAGGGAGTATAATATAAGCTTTTATTACTGCCTCATCACTATTCAATGTTTAGAAAATTGATAAGTACTACAGTCAAATCTTTCTAAAATAGTTTTATTTTTTTTGATATTTTTTTTGGCTTTTATGATGAATGGTTGTTATACGCTTATAACAACATTTGATGTTTAAATATTATTTGGCTCTTATAGGCAAAAACTACTTTAAAATTAATTTTTTTTTCCTTTTTTTATTATGTAATAAAACAATAAACAAAATTATACACTATCTTTGTTTGACATAAATGCTACTTTGTTTCTAAAGGAATAGTTTGAAGTTTAAACCCCATACGGCATGAATTATACTTTAATGAGTATTCTTCATAAACTTATGCACGATGAAAACTTTGTACAGTGGAAAATATATGTGCAGATCATCAATTGTAATCATTATGTACGATGGAAATTTGTCCAATGAAAATGGTATATATGTGCAGATCCTCAAATATTAGACATTATACATATTAGAAATTATTGTGCAATGGAATGGCAATATACTAGCATATATTTTAATGAAATTTATTAAAATCTTTAATTATGAAAGTATGTATTAACATAATATTTTATTAGAAGTGGTGCATTACAATTTTAAAATATTTGTTCAAAATCTCTAGATTTATTATTTGCAATCTTAGAGATTCTGCAAATGTTATAAAAGGATAATTTTATAAAAAGTATATTGTAATAATGATGGTTGTTATTGTTATAGATAAAAAATTATTATAGAGGTAAAATGTAACATAAAAAATTACTTTTAAAAAATTTAATTTTTTTATAATAAAGTGCTGTTATATAAAAATATTATTATAAAAAGGTATGACTTTATTAGTTAGTCTAAGTTTATACTTATAATCAATCCATAATAATTCTCCTCTTTTATGCAATTTTTTGGAACTGACTATACTTGCGAAACTCGCATATGAGAAGTATTATATAAAGGAATTGTGCCGCAGATCGAGTAGGAAAGGTTATGGATATCATTGATATTAGCTAGTGCTACTGTGCTAGTATAACAGTTGTCTCCTTTTGTATGTATTGTTCTTTTGTTATCAAAATTTGAATAATTGAAATAATTTAAATTTCGAAAAATATTTGTATAAAGTAACATTATTAGCAAGTACTACTAATTTTTTTGATGCATGTTAAAGTAAATTAAAAGGTATCTTACGATTAGGAGTAATACTTGAAGTTTGTGGGTCCAATCAATTTGATAGGGCCACAATTAAGTCATTGCCAGGGAAGAGGCCAACCTGACAAAAACTTTATACAACATTCAATTTGACAAAGGTTCACTTATTTCTAACTCATTAAAAAAAACAAAAGAGAAAGAGAGACAGCATCCAAAAGCCTAAGCCCCTTATATATTTTTATTTTAAATTATACTATGCAGTATTTACTGTAAAACCTAAGAAAGAGCAAGACATAGTCCTTTTTAAAGTCTTTCTAAATTTAACATATTTTATATGAGAAAGGGAAATACTAGAGACGATCACGCAAGTGTTCTTTTGGTGCTTTGAATTTACTACTGTAAAACTTAGCAACTAAGTCTAAAACAGAAGCATACGAATCCTTTTACACACTTGGTTAACTCTGACATACATTTGCTCAAAAGGGGAAATTACTCATGAGAGTAAAAGAGACTGCCACTTCTAACTTGGAGTCATCTCTAGTTTGTTTTAAAAAGAGAGACTAAATTTGTTATAAGATCAAAACATAAGCTAATATCACAATCAAGAACAAACAAAAATAAATATCTAGACATTTATAACATGGTTTTCTTTTTTTCACTTTTGACACTGTCAAGGGCAAGGAAAACTAAATGTCTTGACATTAACATGGTTTCCTAATTCCTTCTTTATTTTTATTTTTTTTGCTTTTGATACTCTCAAGTAGGGCTAGGGTTATTGGGTAAATAGTTCGATAACGGTTTAATGTTATTTGGCTATTGGGTTATCGGTTCGGGTATCGATTTTCTCAATTTTATTAACGGTTTAACCGATAACCCAATAAACTTTAACAAAATTATTATTTTACCCACTAAGTATATAAAGCCACCTTATGGCTTCATTCTCTCAATTCTCTCGGCAGTTACCCTTCATCTTCGGACCTTAATCCTTAGAGTAAGTTTTAAACTTTTCTGAATGTCTCATCTTAATTTTTCAGTTAATATTTTTAGTTTTAAACTTTAAAGAATTAATTGTTCATATTTTTAGTTTTTCTATTTATTTCTTTTGTTGCACTGATCCTTTAGTATTTACAAGATTAGGATTTTATTATTTTTCTGTGAATTATTCCCGCCCGCAGAGAGATAGTAAGATTAGATTGTTGAATGTCTTATTCTTTACTCCTACTAACTTATAACTTTGAAAATTGAGATCATTCATTAGGATTTACAAATGCAAAAAAAAAAAATTAGCTTCAAAAGTTGAAATTTAATCCCTCTTTTCTTAAGAGTGAAAAATTCAGTTCCTTTTTCTTAACAATATGATCATAATTTCTATAATAAAAACATGAAATTTTTGGATATTTTTTATTTTTATCGACTAAACCGATCACCGAATCGATAATAAGGATCAATAACCGACTAACCGATATCTTATCGATTCGGTTATTGGTTTAACATATTTATAAACCGATAATATTCACAACCGAACCGAATCGACTGATGCCCTCCCTACTCTCACGGACAAGGAAAACTAATAGTATGTTGATACTAAAATGGTTTTCTTCCATCTTTTTTTTTTGTGGCTCTGGACACTCTCAAGGACAAAGAAAACTAAATATCTAGACATTAACATGGTTTTTATTTATTTTGACACTCTCCAGTACAGGCAAAACTACATACCTGGACATTAACATAGTTTTTCTTTTCTTTTGAAAAGAGACTGCAATAGATCTTTTTATTAGGTTCAAATAATTAATTACAAGCTAGCTAGGTACTCGATAGTCCATTAGTAGGTAAATGATCTTTTTCTTATAGGAATATCGGTTAAGGTTGAAAATTCTTTTCTTTTTTTCTTTTTGTGGAAATAAGGAATGTCCCCCATAAAATTGGAAAGAAGAAATGCAGATAGTTAAAAGTTAAAACTACATACATGATCCTAAATTTACTCTGCAAAGGATGTTAACTAACAGTAGTAAGTTCAGGTGGAAGGTAAACTTGGTGTTTTCGAATTTCACCCCAACGTAACGACTTCAATTTTTCATGCCGACGTACGATACTAAAGCCTTTTCTTTTCATCATTAACCTATTATTATATTGCTCGTACTCTTTAGATACGTCACAATTTTTATATATTGATGATTCTCTTTCAATATCGCCCCTTCTTTTTATTCAGCAATAAATATCGATCCATTGCTCTTAACGGCTCTCTCTACTATTGCTTTTCTCTTTATCTCTCTTATGTTCGTTCCTTCATATCCCAAACCAGTTTCACTCTCTCTTATTTTCTCGTCAAATTTCCCTTTATAGTGTCATTCACTTTCAGCCTTTTTCTTGATCTTGACATTGACAACTAGAAAATGGAGGGTGAGAGTTTGTCTGATCGTTTCTTTGAGGATTCTGAATTTGACATCTTTAGTATTTTAGAGGCTTTAGAAGGAGGCGGTGTTTCGGAGTTTAACATGAGTAACCCCACAACAACAACAACTTCGGATGAAATTAATGGTTTAGTTTCCAAAGAAGAAGAGAAGAAAAGGAAGTTGGTTTCTCAGAAGTCAACAGGTTCTAGTGCAACTTTACAAGAATACTCAGAGACTGAAGCAGACGGTGGTGCTACACCAAATAGCAATAAGAGACAAAGAGTAACAGCGGTAATTGGTGGGATAGAGGAGGGAAATAACCAAATAGAAACAAGGATTTCTCACATAACAGTTGAAAGGAACCGCAGAAGGCAAATGAATGAACATTTGTCTGTTCTCCGCTCTTTGATGCCTTGTTTTTATGCTAAACGAGTACGCTTCTTCTCTTTTCCAACTATTGCTACCTTTTCATTTTTCATTTTCTAGAGGTTTCAACCAAATCTGCTTTTGAGTTTAATAATTAACTTCTATACTTTTTTCCTTCTTCTCTGTGGTTCGAAAACTTCACATATACGTGTCATTACATTCTCGTCTAAATCTTTTTTTTTTTCACTTACTAAAACTGAATTTTCACTCTAATCATATCATGTTAATAGATAACTACAAGTAAAAGTTCAATAAAAAGAGAGATTAGGAAGTTGAAAACGTAACTCAATCAAGATTATCTAATACGACAAGTTAAAATACATTAATAGTGTAAAAACTCGTGGGAATAACTTAAGTTTGTTGTTGGTGTTGTTGTTCAAGCATGTATAAGTTAGTTGTCAATCTTTTTGCTTACACTTTGGTTACTGGTCTTGTGGAGTATAATAATTTGATGAACTAACACATGTAAGTAACCTTAAATGAAATAATTTTCTAGTGGGTGTGGGGGCATGCATGTCCTAAATGTGTTCCAGAAATCTTATACAAAGTTTGAAAATGTTCTACGTACTACACTTCTGAAACCATTTCCTTGTTTTGAAGTTTAGCATAAATTAAACTTCTTATTTCCTTTTCTTTTTTTGGTTGGCATGTTTAATCAGGGCGATCAAGCATCAATAATTGGTGGGGTAGTGGATTACATAAACGAGCTGCAGCAAGTTTTACAATCATTAGAAGCCAAGAAACAGCGCAAAGTTTACAGTGAAGTTCTAAGTCCAAGACTAGCAATTCCAAGTCCAAGAGTATTACCCTCACCTCTTAGTCCAAGAAAGCCACCACTTAGCCCCAAAATAAACTTACCGATTAGCCCAAGAACCCCACAACCAACCAGCCCTTATAAGCCTAATAATAATAATAACAAAAGGTTACAGCAACCAACAATATCTGCTACTCCACTAGAACCATCTCCTACTTCTTCTTCCACTAATTCCTCCATTGACAGTGCCAATGAACTTGCTGCTAATTCAAAATCAGCAATTGCTGATGTGGAGGTGAAATTCTCCGGCTCTAATGTTATACTGAAGACGATGTCGCCGCGTATTCCTGGCCAAGCTGTGAAGATTATTGCTGCTTTAGAAGAACTCGCACTGGAAATACTACATGTTAGCATCAGTACTATTGATGGAACCATGCTCAACTCTTTCACTATTAAGGTAATTGATAAGCTTAAACTTCTGTACGTTATTTATACGACCAGATTAAAAATATGTTACTATCTTCAATTAAATTGTACTGATATTTATACAGTCAATGTATACTTAAATTCATACCTACATAAGGCTAGCTCAATAACTCTCAAATTACTATCATGAAGATGAATTCACCCTAGAAAGGTCCGCAGCTGGCACTATTATTACCTTCTTTTATGACCAAGTATAAATCTTTCACAATTTGAAGTAAGTTCTACTACTATAATTTATTGCTAGCTCAAGTCCTAAAATGCTTTTGCATGATAAGAACCTTAAAACCATTTTATTTCATTATTTTTCTATTTCAATCTCTTCCATTTAATGCACCTTTACCTAGAGGTGTACAAGAAGTTGATCGAATATACATCTTTTTTGGTATAATTGACCTAAGCTTATTCCAAACATGACTATATATAACATATCATAGTTTGATATGGAGATAGAGTTGACAAGTCAGGACAATTGAGGAAATTTTTTACTAGCACAAAATGTTATACCTGATACCAAAAGTTCCTAGTAATCATTTGTTTCCTATGGTGAAACAGACTTGTGGGCAATCATTTGTACTTTCTGGTTAACTTTTCTACATATGGCACCCTTGACAACCACACTTCTTCCAAAAGATTTTAACTTTTTAAACTCCGGTATTATTTCAGTAAATGCAATTTACTATCGGTATTAAAGTATTAATCTTCATGTATTACTAACAGCATATGGAAAAGACTAAGCCCGTTTGGCCATGAATTTTTTTCACTTTTTTCGAAATTCTTTTATTTTTTTCCGAAATCAGTATTTGGCCATAAAATTTCCAATTTTTACTTGAAGATGAATTTTGGAACTTTTCTAAAATTTGAAAAACTCTAAAAAGTTATTTTTCAAAATTTTCACTCAGATCACTCACAAAAATTTAAAAACAACCCAAAATTATATTTATGTCCAAACACAATTCTAATTTTCAAATACCTTTTTCACTTAAAAAAAAAATCATTTTTTTTCGGAATTTTACAATTCTTATGTGCAAATGCCCACTTAAACACTTACTAGAGAATCCCTCTGGTTCCATCAAATTAGTGAAGATTTCAAAGCTAATGATTGATAATTTCTTGCGCATTTGACAGATTGGAATTGAATGCCAACTAAGTGCTGAGGAACTGGCTCATCAGATTCAGCAGACATTCTGCTAAGCACAGTACTCAATAATTACTTTAGTAGTAATAGTAATTTAGTACATGTCCAGACCACCCTATTTCCTTTTGTTTTTTTGTATTTTACGAAAAGAAGTGTCTCATTCCTCTAGATCGATCTGACTAGGGAGCTGTAACAATAAATTAAAGAGAACGTGGGTGGTTGAATTTACCACCATTCTGATTTAACAGACGTTACGTATAGATTGTCATGACTTTTATTTACTAGCTAGTGATCGATCGTTTGATATGACCCTTCTGTACTCATTTCCTTATGTTCAGTCTTTGTATTTTCATTCAACTAATTAATACAGTATGTGTTCTTTCACTTAATTTCATCTCTTTTGCTTTCTATTAAAAATAATAATTCAAGCAACAAGGGATTAAATCAGTGGAATCCGAGGTAAAATTAAACTATGAAGGAATGAGATATATATCATTGTCAAAGAGTTGCCATGTGATCGTATACTCTTAATAGAGCTCTATAAGTACTGTATCTATAAGTTCTCAAAGTTGCCTTAGCCTATGGTAATATATATTCCACTACCAAGGGCTGCTTTAGAAGTAAGTTTTAGGAAATATTATCCAACGTGATCCGACTTTTCTTTGGATCGGACCTCAAACCACATTTGCACATTTAGATATTATCACCGCACTATCAAGAGGATTGGCCGCCAACGATATTTATCCATCGTTAGATCTTTTAGATTCAACCAAAGGTATTTAACGAATAGTTTTTGCTCATACAATGTATTTGTCTTTAAAAAATTATTAAATATGTATACATATCAAATTCAGAATCCAATTATTAGTATTTAAGATCGTCGTTCTAAAATTCAAAACCCATAAAGTTATATTTCTTGCTCCGCCTCTAGCACCAACTTGTCCTTTTTTATTAATTAATTGCAAGTGGAATTTATGAATTTAATATATTACAGAGTAACGTAATAGTTACTGAGATATTTATACATGCCAAATAGAGAAGTGAAGATAACATAGGGAACCCACCTTCTCTAGCTAAATTGCCAAATTGATCTATTTGTCAAAAGATTACCACCTAGGTTGTGAGAAGCTACAACCTGAAAGTCCTATAAAGTAGTGAAAGGCAATGCGCCATTCGAGCAATGGGTGAATATGCATTCATTATCTTTTTGTTCGTTTCTTATATAGATAGTTAAATACTACTACTATATGATATTTAAACTAAATTTGCACATACATGCAAAAAGATGAGTAGTATTAAATACAATGGTAATCTTCACACATTAATAGAATTTTAATTTACCTTTAGTATTTAATTACATAAAATTTGCTCGAAGCATAAATAACAACTAATTAGGTAAGAAAAATAGGTGCCTCGTATCAGCCCCCTCTCCTGCCGCAGCCAGATACAAAAAGCCTCTGGGCTGCATGCATTTCATCGATGAGTTTGCTAATTTGATGATGAAGCAAAAACCAACTTTTGCACCTTAATACATATGTTTGGAAACACAGCGTTTGACAACAGGAGGAGACTATTTACGTGTCTAGCGTTTTCCATTCCAACAATGAATTTAGGAGTCATGCACGAATAGTATATATTTATTGAAGATATACAAATCGAATAGCTTAAGTATTTATACGAGAATCTGACACGCTTTAACATGATATTAGAGCAAGACGAGGTCTTGAATTCGAGTCTCACCACACCACTCATTACAAGAAAAAGAAATCACATGCTCGGCTCGTAAAAAAGGAATGAAGATAGCATGTGAATGGGTGTATTGAAGACATAATTAAATAAATAAAATATACTTACTTTATTCTCTTAAACAGTTAGATGAGTTTGTGACACACTTCAAATCGTATTAATTAATGTAGTCCTCTCTATGCCAAGTTAGCTAGCTGAAATTTTGCATACCCATGAAAAATCACGTAGGTATATTATTAAGTTGGCAATATAACTTAATCAAGTGAGAGAGTAAATTAAGTCTAATGCAATATCGGATTCACCCTAGATCATTGAATGAGCTACTAGCTAGAGCTTTATCAGTATGTCCAAATGATCACAACATGATTATCTTCATCTTCCTAATTCCTATCCTAGCCTACCCTAACGACTCTCTTTGGAGTTTGTAATGGAGACCTGAACCTACGCTTCTAGATAGGTTCTGTATCGTTGTTCCATCTATACCCCGTTATATAAGTCCAGAAACTAGCTACAAGACTAGATCAGTTTAAGTTAACCCCTACCCTTCAATTAATTGAGTACTTCCAAATTGTAATAAGATAAGAGTTTCTATAAGTCTGCAGTTCAATACTATATCATAATGTACTTGAATCTTCAGTAATTAATGATACAATAACTAATGTTACTCCCTTCATCATATTTTAGAAATTTTACTTTGCTTAAACACAACTTAGAGTTTAGGTTGTGCCGAAATATTAGTCGTATATGATCTTGTTGTTGTAGTGGATAACTGGATACTCAATGCATAGAGACAGAGCTAGCCTATTTGGTGCGAGTTCAGTTGCTTAAACACTATATATATATATATATATATATATATTTTGGTGCGAGTTCAGTGACAAATTCAGAACTTGTAAACTTTAAATCTTGACTCCGCCTCTGACCATCACCATGCAATCTTTTTTTTATTAGATGGACTTGAAGCAGCTCAACGTAACATGGTTAATATAAAAGTTGTTATAGGACATCCATTTCTATACATGGAAGTGCATGTGGTCCTATGTATATATACGTGTGGAAATGGTATGCAACTTTTACGTGACAGAGAAAAGTTTTATTCAAAAGTGTTATAAATGGTCCCGAAATTAAAGGTGAGAAAATTTCTTCAAAATAGGCTGTGATGGACCACACTGGAAGTGACGGCTCTGTGCTGCTATATATGAGCTATTAGCAAATTAATGATCTCCCTTTCTTTCTATCAGAATCTTAGTTTTATTCAATTATATCAACAAAAAGAAGGAAATGCCATTAACGCTCTATGCTTTTGCAGGGATATGGAAGCCAATATGATGTTACGTGACGATGTTAATTAATGTTTTTGCATGAATTATGGTCTCTGATCTTCCTCTGCCACATCACTACTTGAGGGGTATCAAATTAAGAATTTGGGGCGGATCAAAATATCAAAGAGCTATTTCTATGAATTCCATATTTGTAGTTCGAAAGAGAGAGGATCCAGGAAATTTATTTGAATCTAATTCTCCCCAACTTTTTTATTCCAATCAACGACCTCTTACCAGGTAATACTGAGGAGGGACGGAGCAACCCGTCCAAATTTACGGGTTGGTAATCATTAGCCAAGTAACAGTAAGCATGAGACAATCATACTAATCTACCTTTGGAAATGTGTTAGGAAAATCTAGAAGGTGAGGTGAAAACTGTAATATGGGTACTATATGTATATATATTTAGCAAAAAAAAAATTGTTTGTATATCATACTGTATATCATATGTTCCTTCTTATACATAGTGAAAAAACTAGTCAATGGGTGGAAATAAGAAAATTAATTATCGCCAACACATCATGTCTCCTTTTCCTTTGATTAATCAAACAACCTTTTGGTCAATGGGGCAATAATAAATAAAGAATGGCGCAGGAAAAGTTAAAAGCAAGTTGATGATGCAACCAAAAAAAAAAGTTAATTGCTTAACCAATGAAATCCAGGAGGAGTGCAAACTTGCAATGACTTGGTCAGATTCTGATAACCATTCTGACATGAGTTTGCTGTTTGGTACGTGGACTAAATTATCTCGAAATTATAATTTTAAAATTATAATTCCGGGACTTATTTATACCATATGGGAGGTGAAATAAAGTAATCTCAAGTTTGATGGGATACGATGGGATAAGATAAGATATTCTGGATTAAATCTGAGATGAAATTTATATCCTGTTTGATTGGAATAAATTTATACCTCCATCCTAATACGGTATAAATTTAATCCCGCCTTATTCCTTGTACCAAACGACTCCTAAGAATACACGGTTGGGCGTTTGGATTGGACTTGGGCTTAGGCTTGGGTGGGCTAAATGGATATATTGGGTCAGTACGGGCCTGTACAGTGCATGACGCTACTTGACGACGTAAAAATTACCTCCAATAAAGAAGCAGGAATAGATGGACAAAAAAACTGCAAGTTGGTCAAACTTTCATAATCCTAAGAAGAATTAACTAATGTTTAAAGATCCCAATGAACTCTTAAAGAAATATTTTGGAAAAGGTAACAATTTGTGCTTGATCATATCATCCAAAATATTTTGTCAGCATTAGAAAAACTATTTGTGTTTGGTCAATTTTTCTTAAAAAATACTTCCGAACATAAAATTATGAAAAAAAGACATATAAATTTTTTTTTTTATAATAATTATTATTTGAATATAAAGAAATTAAAATTTTGTTATGAAAGATTTTATTTAAGTTATAAAATTTTAATAAACAAGGAGAATGTGAGTAACAAATGAGATAAATCAATTAAGGAGACACATGCTTGATAAAGATTTTGTTTAAGTTATGATATTCTTGTTCTGGAAAACATAGTTTTCTACTTATATTAGAAGTTAAATTTCAGCTTCCTCCTCTCAATAAAAAAAATGCTTTCAAAACTACTTAAAATCATGTTCCCAAAAGCTTGGGACCTTCCAAAATATGAATTCCTCCTTTTAATGCACTTTTATTAGTTTCGGAAGTTTGGCCAAAGAGCTAGTAGCCTTAAAGTGTTGGGCTGTCAAAAGTCTCAGACAGGAAGCCCAATAGAATAGTTGGATACCCGACCCAATTATGTAACAAAAGCCCATAAATGTAATACTAATATAGAGAGTTTCTTCTGGAACATTTTAGATACAACATGAAATAAAATGAAAAATATCTTTCTTCTCTCCTGTTGCTCGACCTAGGGCTTTTCTCTTCTCACTTTCAATTTCTCTCAATCAACTCCAATAATGGAGTCTAACATGATATCAGAGCCTAGCAATCGATCCATCTTGATGAGAGCTTTCGTCTGATAGTACCCGTGTGCTTTGGTTTAATGGTTTTGGTCCGATACTGAGATTTTTCGATCTGAGTGATTTTGGGATTTCTTCGAGTTTTCTCGATTTCTTCTTCTGTTTCTGCATTTAGAAGACCTTAACTTCTTCAGGTGTGCGAAGAAGGAGGGTAAAAATTCTGACTTTCATTTGCATGTGAAATTAATGTACGATTAGGGTCTTTGTCTGCTCGATTTTGTCTGTGATATAGTGATATGTGTGTTATCTCGCTCTATTGAGACTAGTTATCATACAAAATCGTAATTACTTTGTCTGAATATGGGAAGTCCTTCCTCCGTTACTGATGGTTTTGTTGAGTTCTCTTTGGACTCAGCTCACCCTTTCTACGTTCATTCATCCGATAGTCCTAGTAGTCAGTTAGTTGCTATCCCTTTCAATGGGACTGGTTTTGTACACCGGCGAAGTAGTATGCTCACTTCACTTTCCGCTAAAAATAAACTAGGCTTAGTCACTGGGAAAGTTCCTCAACCTTCGCCCAATTCTCCTTATTATCCTTACTGGGAGCGATGTAATGATATGGTAAAGGCTTGGATTACCAATTCATTGACTAGGGAGATAGCAGGCAGTGTCATGTGTCTCAACACTGCTAGAGAAGTATGGAGTGATATAAATGAAAAGTTTGGACAATCTAATGGATCCAAGTACATTCAAATCCAAAGGAAAATCAGTTCTAACTCACAAGGGTCTTCTGATATTGCCACTTACTTCACCAGAATGAGGGCTCTTTGGGATTAGTTAAACTCTGCATATATTGGTCCTACTTGTTCCTGTGGGGCTCTACCCAAATTCATAGAAGACCAACACCTTTTTCAATTCCTAAGTGGGTTGAATGAGTCATAATCCACTGTAAAGAGTAGTATCATGCTCATGTCTCCACTCTCATCCATTAGTAAGGCTTATTCTCTGCTCCAACATGATGAAAGTCAAAAGGAGAATCAACCTCCAGCCTTGGGTTTTTCTGATGATTCGGCATCCTTCTCTGCCACTATAACTAATTCAGCACATGTCAATCAAATGAATTCCAAACACAATGCCAGACCTTATAACCAAAGAATTAACTTTGATCCAAAAAGAAATTCACCATCTGTGTCTTGCAAGTACTGCAAAAAGCCTGGTCACACAGTAGATAAATGCTATAGACTCCATGGTTTCCCTCCTAATTTCAAATTCATCAAAAATAAGAGATCTGCCTCTTGTGTTCAAGTAGAAGAAACCTGCTGCTGATATTGGTCCTAGAATCAAGTCTAGTGACTCCACAACTTATGGTTTCAGCAAAGAACAATATCAGCACCTCATGTCTCTTTTTCAGCAGACTCACATATCTCCTAGGGTCCATTCTTCATCTTCTGATGAAAATATTGGTTATGCCAACTTTGCAGGTATGTGTGTCATCTTCCTGTTGATCAATTTCCTGTAGTTAATTATGTAGTACATTCTTTGTCTGCTCAGTTAGGAAAAATACCTTGGATACTAGATTCAGATGCCACTAATCACATGACTTCCAATAAACAATTCTTACACAATTTACAACCCTTACCTAAACCCTACTTAATCACTTTACCAAATGGTTATAAAGTCAAAGTAATATCTACTGGTTCCTTACTTCTTAGGAGAGACATTGTTTTACACAATGTACTTTTAGTTCCTTCTTTCCAATTCAATCTTATTTCTGTATACCAACTTCTTTCTCAATTGCAATGCTTAGCATTATTTAGCAGTCACTCTTGTTTTCTACAGGGCCCTTCTCTAAAGAGGCCATTGGAAATTGGTAGGGCTTTACATGGGTTGTACTTTCTGCTTCCTGACATGCCTGAGTATTCACCTTTTGTTTCTACTATTTCTTTTGGTACTGCTTGCAATGTTCTTCCTTCTAATTCTGTTTCCCCTTTCCCTAGTCCCTCTTGTATTTCTTCCACTAGTGTTAATAAAAGTGATTTGTTTTGGCACCAAAGATTGGAACATATGCCCTTTCATAAGATGAAGTCTATTCCGTTTCTATCTAACATGGTTTCTTCTAAACAGTCATTTTCCTGCCCTGTTTGCCCTATGGCTAGGCAAAAAAGACTTCCCTTTCCTGAAAGCCATATCAAATCCACTTCTCCTTTCCAACTTGTCCATTTAGAGCTATGGGGCCCTTACCACACTAGGACATACAATGGGTTTAGATACTTTCTTACCATTGTGGATGATTTCTCTAGGGTTACATGGACCCATCTCTTGTCTTGTAAGAGTAATGCCTTCTCCATTATCAAAGCTTTCACTAATATGGTTCAGATTAACTTTCATTCCTCTATTCAAACTTTCAGGGCTAATAATGTCTTTGAATTAGGCAGTAGTTCTGAAGCACAAACATTTTTCTCAGAAAATGGGATTCTTCACCAAACCACTATTCCACATACCCCACAACAAAATGAGGTAGTTGAAAGAAAACATAAATATTTATTAGAGACTTCTAGAGCCTTACTTTTTCAATCTCACCTTCCTGTCAAATATTGGGGTGAATGTGTCTTGACTTCCACTTATATCATAAATATGATGCCTTCTTCTGTCTTGGGGAACGTGTCTCCCTTTCAAAGGTTGTATGGTGTCTCTCCTTCCTATAAACATCTCAAATCTTTTGGTTGTCTATGTTATGCTACCACTCCTAAACCTAGTAGGGATAAATTCCAATCTACGGCCATTAAATGTGTCTTTCTGGGTATCCCTGTGGTAAAAAGGGTTACAAACTCCTTAATCTCACCAATCATTTTGTTTTTTTTTCAGATATGTGGTATTTCATGAACATGTTTTTCCTTACTCTTCACCCTCTTTCCGAGTACATCATACTCCTCATGTTCCTTTTTTGGATTGTGCCTCCACTCCTTCTCCCCATTCATTCTCCTTTACTCCTTCATCTTCTTCACCTCATTCTCCTCCTACATCTGTCCCTTCTACCTCTGATTCTCATTCTGCCACTTCCTTGCCAACTACTCCTCTACTTAGGAAGTCTAGCAGGGTCTGCCATACTCCTCCCTATCTTAAAGACTACTTTTGCTCCTCTGCCCTCTCCAATCTTGTATCTGGAACATCCAAGGTGTCTCATGTTGAGCTACAAATGCATGAACCTCGGTTTTACCAGCAGTCTACCTCTAACCCTTCTTGGCAAGAGGTTATGCTACAGGAATTTCAAGCTCTAGAGGTAAATCATACTTGGGATATAGTTCCTCTTCCTCCTCACAAGAAGCCTATTCCCTGCAAATGGGTTTACAAGATTAAACAGAAATATGATGGCTCTATTGAGAGGTACAAAGCCAGATTGGTTATTAGAGGTGACACCTAGAAGGAAGGTATTGATTATACTGAGACCTTGTCTCATGTTGTTAAGTTCACTACCATCAAGTGTCTTCTTTCTCTTGCTGCTAAGAGGGGCTGGACTGTGTATCAACTTGATGTGAATAATGCATTTCTTCATGGTGACCTTCATGAAGAAGTGTATATGAAACTTCCACCTGGTCTTCAGATTTCCACTTCTGCAGCTTCTGATTCTTCTCCCTTGGTTTGCAAGCTGAACAAGTTACTTTATGGCCTCAAACAGGCTTCAAGGCAGTGGTTTTCTAAACTGTCTGAGGCTCTGCTATCTAGAGGCTACATTTCAAGTAAGAATGACTATTCTCTCTTCACAAGTCACCTAATTCCTCCTTAACAGTCCTGGCTGTCTATGTTGATGATATATTTCTTGTTGGGGGTGATATAGCCGAGCTTGACAGTCTGAAATCCTTCTTGGATTCTCAGTTCAAGATCAAAGATCTGGGGTCTGTCCATTATTTTTTGGGTTTGGAGGTTACCACGAATACTCAGGGTTACTTGGTCAGTCAATAGAAATTTGCTTCTGACCTCTTGGATGAATTTAACTGTATGCATTTCACTCCAGTAGTGACTCCCCTTGAGTCATTTGTCAAATTAACTTCTGACATGGGCCAGCCACTCACTGATCCCAGTCTTTATAGAAGACTTGTGGGAAAACTCAATTTTTTACAACATACCAGACCTGATATTGCATTTTCTGTCCAACATTTGAGTCAGTTCCTTCAAGCTCCTCAGGTTCCCCACATGCTGGCTGCTATACACGTTCTCAGGTACTTGATGAATGCACCCGGGCAAGGAATTTTCCTTTGAAAGTCTCCTACCACTTCTCTTGTAGCATATTCTGACTCTGATTGGGACACATGCACTGAGTCTCGCAAGTGTGTCACTGTCACGACCCCAAATTCCCTCCGTAGGATGTCGTGATGGCACCTAGTCTCTAAGACTAGGTAAGCCTATCAATGCGGAATAATAATAAATATCTGAAATAAATAAACTACAATTCAAACAATTTCAACTCTCAAAACCCGGTAGAAATAAGTCACAAGCTTCTAAGAATTTATTCTCAATGTCTCTATATGTCAAGGTCTAGATAAAATATAAGGAAGCAACATAAAATGATAGAAGGGGACTCCGGAGTCTGCGGACGCTGGCAGATATACCTCGAAGTCTCCGTGCGCAGGTAACTCAATGACGTCTAGGCTGGTAAAATGTACCTGGATCTGCACAAAAAGATGTGCAGAAGC